AGATGGGCACAGGAGAGCTGTGAAGGGGAAGATGATGGGTTCTGCAGTAGCTCTGGGGCTCCTGTACTGCCAGCCGCGTTGCTTCAATAAGGAGAGGACAAGAGGTGGTTATGTGGTAGGAGGTACAGAGGAATTTCCTCCTGGATGGGCCAGCTGAGCCCTGCCGGAGGGAGCTGGATTCCATTCTGGCCAGTGCCTGAGAGCAGGCGCTCGGTGCGGCTGCCAGGGCAGGCGCCTCCTGGGTTATGCCTGTGGTGTAACTGTCTCCTTTCATGTGAGCACCCGTTTGCTTTGCGTGCTGGGGATGAAGCTGACCAGTAGCTCAAGTCAAAGACATTCTAAACATGATCTCACGTTGTACTCTATGTGTTACCTGAAGCCTTGAACACTACCTGTGAAAAACCTATATATTTTGGAATTTGTAGTCTATCTGTGGAATAGTGTCTTATTTGTAAGATGCTTTGTTTGTCTAACCCATTTTCTCTGAAAATAAATGTCATGCAATATTCCTGAAGCATTTCAAAGATGCAGAAATGAGCACATAAAAATAATTATGCATGCATGGAGAATCTTGTCCTTAGAAGAGAATTTGAATTCCTAGAGTTTTTGTAGGAAGGTGCAAGCAAGAAGCTGCACATGGACCTGGGAAAGGGGACAAATTCATGAGGCTGATGATTAAGGGAGGACTTCCAGCACAGGAGGAGAGAGACTCTGCTGTGATATAGTTGTGTTAACTGAAGTAATGGTATATGATTGATGATGATAATTCTGGTACTGGTAACTATTTTGTTGCTGATTTAGCCAGTTGATATTACAGTCTTTGTTGATATTGCTTGTTTAATACACATACTCTGTTGTTGTTCTTATGTTTCTTATCTCACAGTAGCTAACTTTTCCCTTTCCTGCTCCAAAACTAATTAAACACTGTTTGATCATAACCAAACAATTTAGATAAGAAGATGCTCTTCGATACTATGATATTTTTTTTTCCCTTTGATATATTCTCAGAATAATGTTTTGGATGCTCTGGTCATCTGCAGGAAGTCTGGGTTCCCAGTTGTAACACCTTGGTTAAGTTCTTAATGATACAGAAGTTAATGCCATTTAAATGAATCATACAGTCACAGAATCCTAGAATGGTTTGGGTTGGAAGGGACTTTGAAGATCATCCAGTTCCAACCTGCCTACAATGGTGTCTTGGGGTAACTTTATGATACTGCGTTCCCTATTGCCTGCTCTATGCCCAGACATGAGTCCTTTAAGCTCCAAGTGGGGGGAACTGGGGGAATTCCTCAGCACACAGTTTGTGTGCAGTGCTCACAGACTGCCCAGGGTTCTCTGTGCTCTGTTGTCTAGCACAGATAGAGGGAGTCCGTATTTGCTTTTTAGCAGGACACCCCCACTAAACAAGGTTACTCAGAGCTACATCCAGCCTGGCCTTGAACACTTCCAGGGGTGGGGAAGCCACAGATTATCTGGGCAACCTGTTCCGGTGCCTCACCACCCTCACACAAAAGGATTTCTTCCCCATGTAGAATCTAAACCTACTCGCTTTCAGATAGGAACCATTCCCCCCTGTCCTGTCACTAAATATGCTTTGTGAAGGCTCCTGCAGGACTAGTTCAGCTTTCATCTATAAATCTTACTCTCGTGTGTTGCAATAACATGCAAGCACGTGGGAACTTTTGATTTTTCTTTAGTGTAACATGACTGGAAAAAATCCCTGTCAATACTCAAGGTATGATGCCTTGAGTTCTAGTGCCATCCTCCATTTTATTCCTGGGAAAATACCTGCTTTAACTTGCAGTGTGAAGCTTTGCTGATCAATATGTTACAAGCATAGTAAAGTTCAAGAAATTGCCTCCATTACTATCTTGAGATGAGAAATTGATTCACTGCATTCTCTTTCTGCTAATTCATCTGTGCTTTACATTCCCATAAAAGGTATTACGTGCTCCTTATTTTCCAGCAGCATCATCAATCCTAATGAAGAGAGAAGACTGAAAATTTATATTGTGTGTATGGGATAGCTGATCTCTGACTTAGCTCTTAATTTGTAAATGTTGCTGTAGCCTTCACTTCTCAGCTTCTCCTTATTGTGCTTTGTTTGTATGCAAAATCGAAGGGCTGGGATGGAAGCAAAATTGAAGAACATGGCAAAGGAGTGTAAAGTTAGATTGCTTTCTAATCTAAAAAATGAGATGGTGGTTAAAATTCAATGGAAAGAGTTAAAATCTCATTTGGAAATTTGATGTACATCTGCACTGTTTGTTCCTGCATTAATTATGTCGGGACTGTTTTCAGTATTTATCTGCCATCAGTTCTCTACTTCTGGCTCTAAAATGTCCAAAGTTTTACTTTTTAACTGTATTATTATGTATGAGACTTTTGCACGTCTGATAATTTCTGTAACCCTGCATAGGGGTGGTATTGTAGCTCTAATGATCAAAGTGATATAGTGGGAAAAACAGCCAGAACAAATATGAAAAACAGGAAAGGGCTTTTCTGGGTATTTCAGTTGTTGTTTTTCCTAGTGTCCATCAGCCCAGCCTCTATAGGAAACTACCAGGAATGGTTTGTCTGCACAATATTTTGGCATTTTTAGGCTTAATAGTAGCAACATTTGTTCAGAGCAGATGGGTAAATGACAAGGAAAGCAAAACTATATATTGTGACTTTGGTCATGGCTCATGATATAGCAGTTATTTTTTAAATTAAATTTAAACGTATTGTCAGGTTCTAAATAGCTGTGTTAAACTGAGGCAAAAAACCCCTACATTTTCCATCTTGGCTCCACTGATGTTAATCTCAGGTTTTCTCCATGTGTCTGAATATTTTTTCTTACAAACAAATGGTGCTCAACTTTTAGTCAACTATAAGATTCAATATGCCTTTTATAAACCTGGAGGTGTTTAAATAGCAGTGTGAAAACCAAGTCAGATAAAGCATTAAGTAGATGTGAGTTTATTAAAACCTTACTCCAACAAAGATTCATGGACTTGCTTAGAAAAGTTGTGAGCAGACAGGATACAAGTGGATGATGAATTTATGAATTTATGAATTTAGGCTCACGTTTCTTGCAAGACATGGGTGCACACAGGTTTTAGTTACTGGGGCTCAACATGATAAAAACTCACTTAGATCCAAGGAAGTCCATGTGGTGCTACCAGCATTGGCCATCAGCCGAGGTGTTCTGTTGAAGAAAGACGTTTTAGGCATGTCAGGCTTTGTGAGGGGCTCCGCTGTCTCTCATGCATGCTTCAGTGGGTTGATGTCTGGATTGTGCTCTGCTGTTTTCTGTGAGCTTTGTGAGGAGGATGGAAGAGGAAGCAGAGACTGGCGCTGGGTGGGACAAGGGAGTTGCTTGGGTTCTTCTCCCCCACCTTGCTGGATAACTAAGGGAGGGCACTTGTTCCATGCAAGGATCTGCTGCAGTTGTGGAGTAGCTACTTGCTGTATGTGGCAGCATCACAGTGCTTGGGACCCATTATCAGAGATTTTAAAAGAATAATTTTAACAAGTGAATGTAGTGTGACAGTGAGAGGAAGTAAATGTTGGTTGCTGTCACTGAGGTTATCTGTGGTAATTTCTACATTTTCTTCTTAAGCTTTTAATGACTTCCCAACGCCCAGCAGAACTCAATGCAGATGAAGCATTTTTCACTGATATCAGTGGACTGTGAATTGCACCCCAAGTTTCCAGGCCTGTTTCACAGAATCACAGAATACCAGGTTGGAAGGCCCCTCAAGGACGATCTGGTCCAGTCTGGAAGATCTTGCACTGTTTTGTTTTACTCTGTAAAGTTCTTGTTAGCCCACTCTTGCAGCCTGTTCCACTGTTCCTGCAGGGTGCCTCTTCCCGCTGAAGTGTCTGCTGCCCTGTTTAGCTTGGTATCCTTGGCAAACTTTATCAGGGTACATTTGATTCTGTCTTCCAGACCACTTATGAATGTATTAAACAGCAGTGGGCTCAGCACTGGGGGTCCAAACTTGTGTCACTTTGTCCTTGGTGAATCCATGCTGGCCTTTCCCAATCACTTGCTTCATCTGATTTGTGATAACCCCCTGCAGGATTTGTTCTGAAACTTTCTCCAGGGACTGAAGATGGCTGACAGGCCTATAATTTCTCAGGTTCCTCTTTAAGCTCTTCTTGTGGATAGGGTGGCATCAGCCGCCTTCCAGTCTTTTGGGATATTCCCCAATCCCTTTGACTTCTCAAAGATCACGTAGAGTGGCTTCACAGTGATTTCGGCCAACATTCTTAACATTCTCAGGTGCTGAGGCCTTCCCTCAAAGCCATCCAGGCAGCAGCATTGACAAAAACATATGTGTTGTTTTCATTTAGGTAATTTAAGATGCCTTGTCTAGATACCTCTTCTGCACTGGGTGACAGCCTGATTATATCTCCCACATCTTTGACTTTCATTAATCCCTCCCTTCCTGGTTGCTGTACCTGCGCTTGTTTGTGTGATACTTGTCATGTAGGTTGCAAGCTCTGGGCCAGCAAATCTTCTGTCAGGGAGAGCATTCACCCTGCCTCTGGGTTCTCTGTCAAAGCAGCATGAGGTGCTGTGAAACGGTCTCTGCAATACAGGCAAGATGTTGTTTTACTTATTGCATCAACATAACCCATTGCTCATTTTTCAGTAGGTGCCAAGCTAAGAATAAAAGATTCACTTACTTGCATTTCAGTCTGTAATTTGAAGTCTGTGGATGTATCCATCCCAGAGATTTGACAACAAAGCAGTCTCTCACAATCAATAAGGGAAAGGGGTTCTTGGTTATTCTTCAAAGGAGTTGGAGTGCTGATAGTTGCCCTCTGCCACAGTGACTTAAAAGATAGAGTAACCTGGAGATACTATATTGAATAGAAGTTAGTTTTTTGTTGTGTTGCAATAGCAAACTCATTGTCACAAATCTGCTCATGCTTTGGGGCAAGCTGGTGCTGGGAGATAGTCACATATGGGAAAAATCTAATTTCCATTCTTTTGTTTTGTTTAGATACGTCACTTTGAGATCACAGAATGAAAGCAGCATGAAATGTTACGGCAAAGACAGCACAGGAAGATACGAGAATCTCACAAATCCTCAAAAATCAGGTAATGTCAGAGCATCCTATGTCCAGTTTTTCAAAGGCTGTCTTGTTTAATAATGTTCAATGCTTTTTGATGGTTTTTCAAAATTCGGGCTTCTGAGTCCCTGTGAGTTTATTGATGAACTTCTCAAATCTGGTTAGTTGTGTGTTGGCTGTGTATCTGGTAGAATATTGTTTGGTGTTCCACAATATGTATGACACAGGAGATATACACACCTATCTTAAAGGACTACTTTGGCTATATTGTCTCATACAAGCAAAAGGACATTAACTTAAGAAAAAAAGAAGCAGCAACCATGGCAGTCAGGTTTTTTTAGCCATTGGATTTGACTTGGCTCCATTGCTAGGCACCAACATGGCCTATTTTAGAGGGATGGACTTCTCAGAGGGTCCTGCAGCTGCATTTCTCAAAACTCTCTCCTCTGGGGGAGACACCGGGCTCAAAAGAGCTGTTCCCTCCCCACTGAAAGCTTAGCCATATGCTATTTTCCATATATTACTACTTGTGCTTGATTTTTTTGATTGTTTATCTCTCTCAGGATGTTTCCTCCTTGGCCTGTTTTTGCAAATCCTTGCATATGTTCTTTGACTGTTTCGAAGCATTTCCAGCTACTGAAAAAGGCAATCGCATTGCACTCTGCAGAGGGTAAACACTACAGAGGTCAGGAAGAAACTGCTTAAGTGCATTACAAGGGTGCTCACCTTAAACTAAACTTGGAGGCTTATCATGGCTGTGGTCACAGCAATAGCTGATGGATTAATGTTTGAAAATTTCCCCCTCTCCCCCAAATCAACAGCAGTGACCAGAGGTTGTAATGTAGCCACATACAGTAACTGAATGAGGACTGACCTCTCTGTCCTAAGTTCATTTCATGTTTGCAAAACCAGGATCTTGCTGGGGAATAACAAATGGCTCAGTTCAGTAATAGAAGTAAACTAAAATATGAACCCAAAGACAATTTTGATGATAGGACATGTTTATTTTCCAGGAAGTGTTTGAGAGTATTGCCCTTGATGTAGGACTTGGCAGAAGGGAATTTGTCTCAACCTAGCAGTCAGTAAACCCAGGTTGGCTGAAGAGACTTCAAATCAAGTTTCACTTGATCTAATATGCAGTAAAGTATCAGAAAATATTAAAAAAATAAAATACTGTGTTTATCACAGTAGCACCTTTAGTTAGTTCTGTCTTTGGTATACTTTTCAGTCATGGAGTATGCAATTCAAGTGCCTTTCTGGCCTTAAGTCAAGGCTTGTATTTTGTTTTTATTTCTAATCAGTATTGTGAGGAGATCACATCATTTTATATTTGCCATTTTTATGAAGTAATGTGATAGCTGCTTCTGTTGCAGTTCTCCAAACCCTTCACAGTACCTTGAAACAATTCAGTGACAGCAAAGATAATCAGATTTGTTGAAGCAACCTTCTTTGTTTCTTTGGGACTCATGAAATTTTATCTTCCTTAAACAATTAATTTAATGGCTTTATTTAGAAATCAGCCTTCTCTTTTTGAATAACCACAATAATTCTGCTAGTTTGGGGAAAAAATATTTTCATTAAATTACTAATGCTTTAGAATGCTTTTTTTACATAGATCAAAACAAGAGGAAGATGCGTCTGTTTGTCTTCCTCTTTTCTTCTCCTTTTCTAGAGACTTTCCTGAGATGATCAACTCTTGTTTTTCCTGTTGGGTTTGGTGTTTGGTTTTTTGGGGCTTTTTTTCTTGGTTTTCCTTTGCTGCTTTTTTAAAAACTTCATTGAAGTACAGAAATTACTCGGTTCTCTCCCATTGCCATCGTTGTTCTCCCCTCCCCCAAGTCCAATGTGTTTTTTATTAAACTGAATTAGGACATTCTAGTCTCTCTTAAGAGTGGAAATGGGAACAGCTTAAATGAGCAGCCACATGAGACTCAACAGCCTTTCCAACTGCACTGCAGAAGCTTAGCTGCAAAGAGAATGATAATTTTTGAAGGATTTGTGCAACTGTTGAAGAACTACCAGCATTAATATTAAAAAGCAACTTATCCATTTTTCCTTTTCCATTTTAAGGGTATATAGCTTTCTTACTATGCTTGCTATGAAAGTCAGTCCTAAATATTTTGCTTCCTTTCAATCCTCTTCCCTTTTGTAATTTCTCTATTTGCATACTTTCTCATATACTGAAGCGGGTTCTTTGTTGTTGGTTTTGCCTAAGAACGTCAACCTCTGGGTTTGAGTGCAGATACAGGCGTGGGTTTGTGATCTCATTCAAAACCAGCCAAAACTGAATTGCAGCAGAAACCATAGGAGCAATTGTATCCAGGATTTTGATGAAAAGGTTTTCATCCCTAAAAACATTTGTCCTTGAGGTAGCTGTAGAAAATTTTTGGTCCTTGAAATCCATATTGCTACTTCAATGTTTATTCTAACCAAAACAGCCATGAGCCTGAAACCTTCTGACCCTTGTTTTCAGTCTCTGCCTCTCTTTATTGCTATATCAGATGTCTTCAGGATATCTATAGATACTTAAAAAAAAAAAAAAGTAGGTTTTTGAGTTATCATCTCACCCCTCTTTCCCTTTTCCTCTCTGCTGGCTCACCCAACCATCTTGCCTGGCATTGGAAATTATTCATTCTCTTTGAGTACTGTGCTGATTTTTTCACAGGCTTATATTCTTTGCCAAGGGAAGAGAAAAAAAATAAAAAAAGGAGCAGGGGCTTGAACTCTGGTTGCATAAAAAAGTTATGAGGGCAAACCTGGTATCTGAACAGGGCACAAGAGCACAGGGGTCTCTGAAATATGCCATTCTTACTCTCCTAATTCTGTGCTTCTCAGCCTTCCAGCATTACTCTGGTCTGAAAGACCTAGGGACAGTGCCAGCTTCACACCTGAGAGCTGTGTGTGTGCAGTGCAGGTGGGTCTGTTCTTGGACAGCACTCCCTTACTTTTCAAAGCTGCTCCTCTGAGTGGGGTCACAGTGGTGTAGTGGCCAGCTGAAAACTGTGCCTGTCTGTGCCCAGCTTTAAGGCTGGGTTATGGTCAGCCCGTGGCTGGGCTGCTGGTACCACTGGTGTGAGCAGAATGCAGGCTGTCAGGGAAGGAACTGCTGTTTATTCCTGTGTCTATCCTAAAGGAAATCAGAGAGCAAGATGATGTGAATGATGGCTGTCTTGGTTTAGGAATAGCTTGGCAGGAGATCTGACAGTTCTGAGTAACAAAACAGGTCAATAAAAACATTCCCATAAAAAAAGGCTAAAAAATGAATAAGAGAAACACTGGTTTGTTTCTGTGGAAGCTCAGTAGGGGAAAAAATTTAAATGAAAGAAGAGAGAGGAGAATTTGATTTTGTCTTTCATATTACCTGAAGTTAAGAGTGAAGCTTATATTCCAGTGGCAGAAAGAGAGTCACTCAAGAGAGCCCTGTCAGCCTGTGTGACTGAGGGGTGGTAATGTGCGGTTAAAACACAAGAACACAAAGCAATGACACATTGCTAAGCAGGCCTTAAGTGTTACAATTTAGGCTGCTAAGGGTGGTGGTTAACTTTGCTTTAACAGACGTTTTACCATCCCAGGGGGAGGGAGGGACATGAGGAGGGATGGTGCCCCGCAAATGAATATCTGCTGATGCTGTCGCTTGTGAGTAGCTACAGATACTCTGTCCTGCAAAAGCTGGTTGAACATGGAGGAGTGTGGACTTTTTTGCTGTCTTATCCAGTCTTCTTTTTTTCAGGCTAGCTAGTAATTAATCTATAAAAGCATGTAGATTTTTAGCTTAAAGGGACAGCTGAAAAACTTGAAATAAGTTGGACAAACTGTAGGATCCAATTCCCTTTTGATACACAGCCATGCAGCCTACTGAGATGGGTTAGATTAGAGCTGTAATAACTTTACAGCCTTTTAGAGAGTCTGCTTCCTTCAGCATTTGCTCTCATACAGTCTTTTGTCATCCCTCTCCATTAACTCAGTTCTGAAACTGGCTCTGGCTGACATTCAGCCCTGGTTTTACAGCACACACCCAGCCCAACTTTTATGCATCGACTTATTTGTAGTGGATGTCTCGTTCTGAAATTCATGTGAATTCAGGCAGTTCAATTGTGCGCCTGTCATTTGATCTGTAATTTTACTCAAGTTGAAAAATTCTGTGGGTTTTGGCTTCTGTGGTGTGTGATGGAGCCAGAAGTGTTCATTTTATATAACTACCATCTTCTTAGTATTTCACTGTCTGTTGTCTTCTCTAAGTTTATAGAATGGTCTGGATTGGAAGGGATCTTAAAGGCATCTAATTTCAACCTCCCTGCTGTTAGCAGTTCCACTAGACCAGGCTGCTCAGAATGCCTTCCATCCTGACCTTACACACTTCCAGGGGTGAGACATCCACAGCTTCTCTGGACAATCTGTTCCAGTGCCTCATCACCCTCACAGTAAAGAATTTCTTCCTGGTATATAATCTAAAACTACTCTCTTTCACTTTGAAGCCATTCCCTCTTGTCCTGTCACTACCTGCTCTCATAAAAAGTCCCTCACCATCACGCTCATAGGCTCCCTTAAGGTACTGGAAAGCCCCAATTAGATCACCACAAGGCCTTCTCTTCTCCAGGCTGAACAATTCCAGTTCTCTCAGCATTTCTTCACAGGAGAAGTGCTCCATCCCTCTAATCATCTTGGTCGCTTCCTCTGGAGCCACTCCAACAGGTCCATGTCCTTCCTGTGCTGGGAACCCCGCAGCTGCTTCTGGCTCTGTAGTGATAGACTTTACAAGGGAGAAAAATTGGATCACCTTTATTGAAGACGGGTATTTCCTTCCCACTCCAAGTTTACCAGAATTAAGTTATGGCATGCTTCCAGGAGAGCCTATTTGTATTGCCTTCCAGTTGTGTTTGAAAAGGGAGACAGCTGGAGTGTGTAAAGGCATTCCAGCCAGTTTGGTGGGCCCCAGGCTTTCAGTCGGGAGGATGGAGCTGTAGAAGTTGCAGGGGACCTTTGTCAAAATGATGAGAAAAGAATTGGAGCAAACCCTTGTCTCTGTTGAAATCAATTGAGCTACCATTAGCATGAGTCCAGATTTCATCCATAAACTTAAGTAGGGTATTTCTTTTTCTAGGCAGCCTACAGAAATGTTTCTGTCTGTTGGCATTTGTTTTCATGTTTCTTTGTAACAATTGCGTAATTGGGATGTATCTGTAGTGTCAGAAGTGTAATAGGTTAAGTAGCATAAATGACTGTTAGGAAGAGAAGAAACACAGAACTGCAAAACCATTGTTGCTTTTAACTCCTACCAGTTTAGTTGTTCAGTTTAACCATTTAGTAGTCAGAGCTGTTGTGGTAAATGGCAGTGTTTGGTGTTTAGGCACCAGTGCTAAACACAAAGGAGAAAAAGCACCCTTTATTTCCTTTCTCTTAAATGGAAATCATTCAGTATACTGCTAATGGTTTCTCAGTTGGCCAGAGACTAACTTTGCTGCCCCTGAGCCTTAATGATGTCATGATAGGCTCTGGTTTTAATCTGACAAGAAATGTATACTGTTAGGATTTTATTAAAGCTGATAGCAAATGCTGTGTATACAGCATCAAGCCCTTGAGTTTAAGCCTTTAGTTCAAGTACTAAAAAAAAATTGGTATCTAAGGGACTGGTTGATTACTGATTATGCTTTTATCAATCTGCATATCTGGGTTTTTCTCTGTTACCTGAAGGTAGAATAACAATGCTTTTTAAACATTTTCATTTTTTTCTCCAGATGAGTGATGCCTTTGAAAAGAATGTTTTCATCTTTCTTTTATTTTTATTCTGGGGGAGGGGAGATGAGTGTTTGAAAACAATGCAATTTTTTTTCAAATGTGATTCTCATAGTGACGAAACTTTCCAGTCCTTTTGTGACTTGATTGGTATTTTAATGTAATATCCCGTTATATTTTTTTAAAGCTTTTTACAGATGTTTCTGTATGACTCTGATGATAACTCTGTGATCTGCCTGACCAGCAGCATGTCCCAGCTCTCAAACCAGAGCTGACTTGAGGATGCTAGAGCTGCTGGAGAGGAAATGTTAATGAACCAGTTTTCAATATATTTTTTTTCATTCTGAGAGAGGGGAAGAAAAGTGTCTGTGCTGATGCCACAGATATAAAAACTCTTGATTGCTTTCCAGTGTCCTGCAACCTGTGACAGGTAACTCCTAGGTGAAAGGGTGCAGTAAGTGGAATTTGGCACATGCCCAAGGGACAGCACTTTTTGTGGTGACTACAGCACTAGCTGTGGCTACTAGTACAGTCCACAGCATCTGCCAACGTGGTGCTCCTGTCTGTGGGAAGCGAAGGGGTCAGGGGCTTGGTTGGCCCCTTGATACATCTTTGTAATGAAATCAGGCTGTTTGCTACCTTAAGTCTGTTACTGTCCTTACTCCTGGAATTCTTGTGGTCTTTTAATTGTTTCCTGGAGAAATTTGTTCTCCCTCACTGGTTTGTATTGTTTCTTGTCCTTTGACTAGTACTTGTCATTTCAGACTTTAAAAAGAAGGGCCAAATTCAAGGAGCTTGGTGTAAATTACAGCTCTGCTAATAGGTGAAATGTGACATAGCTCCTATGCAAAAGGTGTATCTATAGATCCAGTAGTACTGTTTTTATGGGAAGATGTGTTCTGAGCATCTTGACTGAGCTTCCTTAACTTGGCAGGCATAAAAGGAGATGCACGTTCCCTCTCTTCCTCTGAACGTTGATGGCCTTTCAGTGTGAAACACCATACAGTGTTTATTTTTACGCCCTTTTAATGTTTTGTGGAGGGTTTGTTTAGTTTCCCTTCATAATTTTTAATAGGAAGTCTTTGAAGTTGGGTCATGGATGAAAAACCCTGTTGGCAGCCTGACTATTCATTGTTGACTCCTATCTTCTTTAATTGTTCATCTATAAAAATCTGGAAGGGAGTTTGTTCAGAGAAACTGTGAAGCAATGTATATTTCTGGAAAGGGGAAATAAACTTGCAATTATTCTCAGCTATTATTTGTCACGTGACGATGTTACATTCTAATGGTTGCAGATGGTTTACACAAAAACTATACACCCTCTTCATTGGGAGCTATGGTTCTCTGTTATACACTATGCTAGAATGGAAAAGGTTTTTTTCTGCCTGCAGCTATGTATTACCCTTATTTGCTATTGCTAGCACACACTCTCCTCAATATGTATCCAGCAGTGGTTAAAATTTTCTCCATCGGTGATTTCACATTTATCCACGTAGATGGAAGATTCTTCTAAGGTTAGAAAGGTAAGGACATGAGTGTGCAGGAGTCTTTGGTGGAGAGCACTGCATTCAGAAAATCAGATGTGAAGGAAGCAGAGTTAAGGTATTGGTTTAATATTTCTGTGTTCTTGTTCAAGTTCAAGATCTGCTTTTATTTTAAAATGTATTTATGAATGCTTAAACATTTTGTAGCTCTGTGCATATGTGTGACTGTAGACACAGTGATTGCTTCATATTGTGGAGTAGTAAAACAATCCTATCATGTGCTTATGTATTTTTTATTCTTCGGAAACAGTACAGACATCTGTAAAATGTTGAGTTACAGTTTATATACTAAAAATTATAAAAGGCTGCATTCAGTATAAATTTGTCTGTTAAAATCATGCAACACAAAGAAGGAGGGGTAAGAAGGTAGAACAGAAGTTGGAGTTCAGCATTCCTGATGTAAGGTGACTAGTCAGAAAAGATCTCAACTGACTGGTTTGATCTTAGTAGAAATACTCCAGGTCAGTCAGCCTCACCTGCATCCCTGGAAAGGCGATGAAACAGCTCATTCTGGATGTCAGCTCTAAGGGTGTGGAGAAAAATAAGGTTATCAGGAGTAGTCAGCAGGGATTGTCCAAGGAGAAGGAATATCTTGACCTCTCTGATAGCCTTCTGTGATGGAATGTGAGGCTGTGTGGATAGATGAAGGGAGACCTTGACTTCGGCAAGGCTTTTGGCACTGTCTCCCGCAGCATCCTCAGAGGTAAGCTCAGGAAGTGTGGGTTAGATGAGTGAGGTGGATTAAGAACTGCTTGAAGGGATGACCCCAGAGTTCTGCACAGTGATGCAGAGTCTGATTGCAGGTGTACTGCTAGTGGTGTTCCTTAGGGGCCAATACTGGGTCCAGCCTTGTTCAACTTACTTCTCAGTGATCTGGATGAAGGGACGGAATATACTCTAAGCAAGTTTGTTCCTGATACAGACCTGAGAGGAATGTCTGATTTGTCAGCAGCCTGGGTAGATATTCAACAAGAGCTGGACAGGCTGGAGAGTGGGGTGGAGAGATCTTAATGAAATTCTATGAAGGCGGGTGCAGGGGCAGCACCTGTGGAAGAATAACCCCCTAAACCAACACAGGGGGCTCAGCTGCTGGAAAGCAGCTCTGTGGAGAATGACCTGGGAGTCCTGGTGGACAGCAAGCTGTCCATGAGCCAGCTGTGCCCTTAAGGTCAAAAAGGCCAAAGGTATCCAGGGGAGCATGAGGAGGACCATTGTCAGCAGGTCAGGACAGGTGATCCTGCCTCTATTTTGCCCTAATGGGGCTTCATCTGAAGTGCTGTGTCCAATTCTGGGCTCTCTAGTTCAATAAAGGCAAAGACAACTAAAAAGAGTTTAGTGGAGGGTTGTAGAGGGGATAAGGGGACTGGAGCATCTCTTATGAGGAGAGGCTGTTTAGCCTGGAGAAAATGGGATTTTATCAATGAATACAAATATCTTAAGGGCAAGTGTCAAGTGGATGGAACCAGGCTCTTTTCACTGGTGCCCAGCAACAGAACAAGAGGCAATGGGCACAAACTGAAACACAGGAAGTTCCATCTAAATATGATCCAAATATGATCCATCCTTACTTTGAGGGGGTCAGAGCACTGGAACAGGCTACACAGAGAGGCTGTGGAGTCTCCTCTGGAGATATGCGCAGGTGAACCTGCTTTAGAAGGGGTTTGCAGAGGTCCCTTCCAACCCCAACCATTCTGTGATTTTGTGAGTCTATGACTTGCCTTGATAATCAACTGACTAAAACTAGTCATGAGAGCACAGTACATGGCTGACTAAAACTGCTTGAATGTTTATATTCTTTATGGGAAAAGACAGTTTTGAAGAATAAGCTTTTATTGGTTTGGCAGAATGATTTTATCGGAGCGCTAGAGGAGAGGCAGAATAATAGGATGAGATGAAGTAATCTAACTGCTCTGCAATAGCCCAGCTGCTACAATTTTGCATCTGATTATGTATTTCAAACGAGAAGATTTTACAGTTTCCTTTGAGGCAATAACAATTACACTTTATGGAAAGAGCCAGCACTTACCTTGTCTTTTTCTTACTCTGCAGGTGCTTGGCACACTAAACTTACTGATCTCTGTAGGATTTGTGCTGTGGTCCATTCATTGAAGATGTGAAACAACATCGAGTCTGAGATTGGAATTACTGACGGACTGGAGGAAATTTTAGTCCTTGTGATGCACATGGACATGCTGAATTATAAGTAATTCTAGCTTCTTCTCCCCTCCCCTCCCTTCCCCTCACTCAGCTATCTCAGGGTTCATAGAGATTTCAATAGTTTGTGTGCCTGTAAGTTTGGAACAGAAGTGACCAAAAATGGGGGACCAGCAGTTGTACAAAACTAATCATACTGCCAACAACAATGAGAACTTGTACTACGAACAACACCAAATGAACTCCCTTCCATCTCTAAATCATAGCTATGGGACATCTGTTATGGATGCTCCCCAGGCGTCCCCCCTCTCCCCTCCATTTCCCCAAGATTCAAGGGACAGTATAGCTTTGCCTGTAGGTTCAAAAAGTCTTGGGTCGATGGATACATCTAGACAAACCAGTTGGACACATTCTGGCTCAGGAAACCATGTCCCAGCGAGGAACAGTTTGAATAATCAAAGCGCAATGTGGAGCCCCCTCGGGCAGGGGGAGTCCCATGACGGATACCAATATTCTTACCCACAACCCAGTGAAAACCGATCGCAAAAAATTACCAGTGGGGTCCTGCACAAATTGGACTCCTTTACACAAGTATTTGCTAACCAAAATCTGAGAATTCAAGTCAACAACATGGCTCAGGTTCTGCACACCGAGCCTTCGATGGTGGATAATTCTGGTGACAGTGCGCTCAGGCAGCTGCTGTCCCAGAAGCCGGCGGTTGAGCAACAACCCGTAGCTTCCACCATACAGAGATACCAACCAGTGCCACAGCAAACGCACCAGAATTTTGCAAGCACACAGCAAAAGCAACAAATGCAAGTCATGCAGCACCAACAGTTGTACTACGACTACCAGCAGCACTTATCACAGATGCAGATGCATTCTGCGTTCCAGCAGGGCCAGGCGCACGTTCCGCAAATGCAGTCCCAGCAGCTCCTACCGCAACAGATGCAGCACTTGCAGCAGCCTCAGTACTACGCTCAGCCCCAGCAGGGACACCAGCGGCTCTCGCTCCAGGAGATCCAGCAGCAGCCTCCGGCTCGGCAGCAGCGGCAGTGTCCAGTGCAGATCGCTCAGTATTACCAAACACAGCCTGTCATGCAGCAGTTACAGCAGCAGCAGCAGCAGATGCAATTGCCGCTCCCTCCGTATCACAGGGAACCTGATCCAAAGACTATGCATGAGCCACACCAGTACTCTCAGGATCCCAGTCATCCTGTGCAGCTTATCCAGTTGGGAGCAGTGCCTCAGTATTGCTTCCAGGATCCCCACGAACAGTACAGGCACTTGTACCCCCAGAGTTTACTGCAGCAGCAGCAGCAAGATCAGCAGAAGCAGTACCTGAGTGAGAGCAGAGTGCCATCCCTGAACTCCCACATTGGCCTCACTCCGCCAGATACCGCTGAGGATCCCGCACGGCAGGAGATTAATTCTGTAGGTAATGCTGTCCCTCATCGAACTCTTTTGCCACCCTCGGGAGTTCATCTGAACAACAAAAGCTCTCAGCAAGACTCTCCCAGCACCACGTGGCCTCAGGTAGGTGGTATTTTAGATCCACGCCCAGCCAAATTTGTTTGCAGAAGAGTAGCAAAATGTGGAAACTGAGCAGTTTCGGCAGAGACAGAAGGTTAGGATGTGAGCTGTGGGCATCTCTGGGATGGGAAACTATTGGGAAACTTCATGACCAGACTTTGGTCTGCAGCTCAGGGTTGGCTCTGGGCCAGGCTAGCTGCAGCACAGAACTGTTGCTGCGAGGCTGCTGCTTTCCTTGTGAGAGGTTTTGGGAAGTTCTGCTTCGGTTTCTGGGAAGGAGGGACCCAGTTACAACAAAGCCTGCCTGCTAATTTTTCAATGCTGCAGGCTGTTGTTCAGGAGCAGTCAGTCAACTCTGTTTCCAAAAGTAGTGCTTCTGGGTCAAAGCAGAGGCTTCAAACAGCAGGTGAGTGAAGCAAACTTGAACTAGCAGTGCTCACAGGGGCAGATTTGATGTCTGGCTCTCAACTCAGAGGCTTTTTAATAGTAGTAAAATAGTATGTAAAATGCAGACTTAATGCTGTGAGTACCTTAATTTACGCAATATTTCCTGAAGAATTATTTTATCAACTTTTTTTCCCTCTTTTCCATTCTCCTGTTTTGATATCAGATACAACTGTCAGATGGCAGACTGCAGCCACTGTCCCCAGAACAAAGGTATTTTTAAAGGATTCTTTTTGTCTTTCTAAGAAAAGATGAGAAATGGCAATTTGATGAGATCTGTATTTAGAGGGAAAAGCATACAGTCTGTATGTGTAATAATTGTTTCTCTTCCAGAAACACCTTTAGCTTTATGCTTTCTGATTTTAAGTTTGTATGATTTCCAGCACCTCCCCCCCATAGCAATAGACTCAAATAAATTCTTTAGATTAAAAAAAAACAAAAAGAAAAAAAAGAAGGAAGCCAAAGAAGAACCAAAAGCAAGGGAGCTCCAGTGTTGCATTTATAAGAAAAGGGATGCTGTATGGTCTGGATTTGTGCCTTTGGCAGCAGAGATCTCCTGTTTGTTTCTTAAGGTTGCACCTCTGAAGGGCCAAGGTGTCCGTCGGAGTGGTTGCCTACCATAAATTAGAGGCATTGTGTCCAAGTACTTGTTAATTGCTGTCACAAGTTGGGAAATGCAGGTCTGTCATGGTAGAACTCATGGGTCTCAGATTTTTTCTATTGATGAGCATGTCCTGCTCAAAACTTCCCTTTTCCCCATCTTGGGAGCAGCTGATCTAGGTGATTGGCCATGTATTCCACAGCAGTCACCACATACTTACTTGTGACTTCATTACCATCTAGCTGTAAAATTTTATTAACTTCCTTGATTAAAAAAGCTCCCTCTGCAACAAAGGGAACATGCCAGACTAATGTTTTTTCTTCTGTTCCATGCTTTTAAAAAATGAAAATAAAAATAGTGGCCAGAACAGAGAAACACTTCCTGAGAGAGCTGATGCGAAGAACAAGCTAATGTGTTCAATATGCTTGAAGGAATTTAAGAGTTTGCCTGCTCTAAATGGTCACATGAGGTCACACGGAGGAGTAAGAGCATCTCCTAACTTCAAACAGGTAGCAGCCATTTGACTTCAGTATTTGGCACAGTCCTTTTGTGTTGATGTTTGCTTGCTTTGCCATGCTTTGCTTTGCTGTCAAAACTTGTTCTTCTCAGCACTGTTTTGTTATGTCATACCCCATGGAAGTAGAAATGCACATAATTCTGTTAGTTTGTAGGCCAGAAGTCTTGTTTTGAAGACAGAGGCAGTGGTGGAGGACAGATCAGTGTTTGTCCTTCTCTGTTTCTCTGCACGTTACAGAACACCCTACCAAGTCATGTCAGGAATGTCTAATTTTTTTCCTCCTCATGTTTGTTTATTATATTAGAAATACCAGGAACATCAAGTCTTCCTTATTTTCATTTGAACTACTTGGATGACTAAGGAATATTTATTGGAAGCCTTCCCAGGCTTTAACTGGAGGAGCAGAATTGTTGAATCTTTGACAGCTTTCTTCCAAAGTGTTTTAGTTGTAATAGGTATCAACAAATACCAAACCAAAAATGTGTTTGAGTTGTTCTGCATAAAAATAACTTGCCCTGACAGTTAGTCTTTATCCTGGTATTTTAGAAATTCTGTCCTAATAGGCAATACCATAGGAGGGCAAAAAGCTACCAGAGTTCCAGAGTTTGTGCTTTTGTTTTTAGCTGGGTGATGGAGAATTCTGTGTCTGTAGCGATAAAAAGAGACATGTTTGTCTCCCCTCCTGCAAGTCACATTGCAAAGATGCTTCAGGTGATTCTTTGTCACCAAGAATGAATCCTACGTAGGAGTCACAAGTAAGCCGCTGACTTCATTTGAGGCAAAGGAAGCCCCCAGAAGGAACACTGTTGTGTGTTTTGTAACCCTGGCCACTTCTTTTCAGCCACGGTGCACACGTTGTGTGGTGCATCGGTCCAGAAGCAGCGCTCCCTCACTGGGCTGAAAGCCTTTAATTGTCTGTGCAGGATGAAGGAGAGAAACCACCACAGCAGCCGCTGTCTAAAGAGGTGGATGGCCTCGCGCCCATCGTCATGCCAGTGTCTGTCCCTGTAAAGCTTCTGTCACCTGAGCCCAGCACGCAGCCCTCTGCCAGCACTGCCACAGTCACAGACAAGCCTGCCAACTCTGTGTCAGATGACGAGATGCCCGTTCTCGTGAAGATGACTTACTCTCCACCGTGCAGTCCAAAAGTGGCCAACCCCTGCTCATCCTCTGTGAGTGCTGTGTTTCTTGCCACTAACTGTCCTGTGCTTGTTAAATCCCTTTGCTTGTAGTGTTGCTACTTTCTAAAACATCTGTATTTTAGAATATTTTCTGGAATCTTTATGGTTCCCAATAAATAAAAAAGTCCTGTAGCAACAGAGAACATTTCTTCTTCAATCATCTGAAAATATTAATTTTCCTTTGCTTGAGGAATCAAGATAGTTAAAAACAAATAATTTGAAATTGGAATGTGATATTCTTTCACCCCACTAGAACAAAGGGATTTACTATCTTTTTACTGGTTTTGTTTTTTCCTTTTCAGGCCGCTTCATTGTTACGTTATTGCTTAAAATCGGCAGTTTTATTTCTTCCTGTTTTCTGAAGTCAGATATATGTGCTTCTCATTTCAGCCACAGAGAGTGCAGTGCTAAGAGTGTGTGCTCTAAGCAATATGAAACTCGGAGTTCTGCAGTGAAGTAATTTTTCCCCTTTCTCCCTGTGTGCATCAGCTCTAAGGGTTAATCACTGGGATTTCTGGTACAGGGAAAATAGCTCTGCTTAGTGCTTACATTTCGCTTATAAAACTGAAATGGTCAGGCAGCATGAGGAATTGATGAGTGCTTGAATGAGATGTGAGAATGCTCATTATTATTTTCCTGAAGGAGTCCTGGAGCAAGCAATATTTACTTCGTGTTCCGGTGTAGAAATGGATTCTGCTCGTTCCTTCAAATCCATTTTGGCAGACGACGCCATGATAAGGGATTACTGGGGAGTATTAGTACTGTATGGTATTATCTGTACAATGCAGAGAAATATCCTTGTGATATTTTTGATTTTCCTTCTCCATTTGAGGCTGATGGACAAATGAGAAATCAGCATTATACCAGCATGGGTGACTCCTTACAATATTCACTCCTGACTCTTCATTCAGACATACCCACTAATTTTAAATAGATATAATATATATATATATATATATGTATATACAAAATCTTTCCTCTCTTCCTTTAAGACAGAGGTTTAACGTATAAACTTCCACTTTATTGTGAAAGCTGTCATTTTGCAATATTTAGTAACTCAGCAGTAGAATTCTTCATTTCTATTTCTAGTTCTGCTAAAGAATAGGGACAGTCTTTTTTGAATCCTCAAGTTCTGAGTGGGAGATCTTCTCTAGAGACACCAGTGTAGTAGGTGGCTTGGACTTGTGTATTTCTGCAACATATATAAAGTGACTGTGATTAAATCTGCCAGTGTTTGGCAAAATGCACATTCATTCCCTCAAAATTATGCTTGTGGCCTTTGTTACTGCCCAAGCAAACCAAACTCACACAGTTCCCTCTCTGGACCCTATCCTTTATATAAGCAGTAGCATTGGAAACATTAAAAGATCAAAAGATCCACCGTTTCTTCCTCTTCTGTAAAGAGATTGTGCCATTGGAGAGGAATTTTTTTTTTAATACCAAAGAACTGAAGCTGTGTTGCATTTATTTATACTGTGCTTTGAGCTGTCCAGAAAAGCTCCCACAAAACTCAAGGAGTCAGTGAAATGAAACAGTGAAAAGGAACTAAACATTCTGCAAGGCTACAGGATGGTGAGCTGAGGCTAGCAGTCAAGTGACATCCATCAGGATCTGTCCAGAGTGGATCTGTCAAGGTGCAGCAGCAGGGCCCAAAAGTATGCATTCTGTCTTGGATAATGGGGATCAGTTACTAGAACTTCAGAAAAGTAGCGTGGTTCTTCAGGGGTGGTAGTGCACTGAGAGCCCATGGAGACCACTGTCTCCTTTACTGCTCAATGTGACCTTCTCTGACAGCAGTGTTGGCTCTGGGTGAAGCAGTGTAGGAGATGGAGATGTTTAGGATTTCTAAGATGTTGCATTGGTTTGCTTTACACTTGTGAGAAAGGAGTACCAGCTCTTTCACACTTGGAGAGCAGAACAAAATAAGCCCTTAATCAAAGACATGGATCTGGCCTTCCGGGTCTCTTTTTTAGGTTTTGGGTTGTTTGGATTTTTTCCCTTGAGTTTAGGGTTTTTCCCCCTTTCTCCTTTATGAACACTAAATGTTCACCATCTTGATAGACTTTATCTGTCATTACAGGTAACTTTCACTGTTCCGAATGCCCATTATCAAAAAAATCCTCTGCAAAGCTGCATTTTCTTCCCTGCAGAAGCAAAACGCTTCCAAAATTAATTTTTTTTTACAGAGAAAAAAATGTCAACAGCTGTTGGAGAGGATGCAGCCATGATCTAACAAAGAGGACAGGACCTCTGTAATCAAAAACATTTCCTCAAGCTGGAACTTATTAACATAAGGGATAAAGGGTGACAGTGCTAATGCTCATTTAACATGATTTTTATTGGGTGAATGTGATTCTCAAGAACCACCCATGGTATAAAGATGTATGTTGTCTAAACATACATTGTAGTAATTTGCTTTACACAGTATTATAATTTACCAGATGATGCAGACATTCTGGAGTAACACTGTCAGAAGTTTCTACTGCTTCCCAAATTTATTCTAAAGATGACCTACAGCTTAACTACCTAAAAGCAGTACATTTAATAATACTGTGTTCATCTACCAACTTCTGTGTGTTCTTAAAGCACAACCTGAGATCGTTTCTTCATACCTTATCCCCACTCCCCCAGGAAATCCAGATTCCAGGTTTGCATAAATTCTGTGTCTTCTGCTTCTGTATACTCTAGGGATTTGTTATTAAATTATTTTTAACATTCAAATTCTAGAAGTCTGGGCATATTAACAGTATGTGAATTTCCCAAGTGGTCATCTACTACCCTTTTTTCTCCAAGGAACAAGGAGAGAGTTAAGTTCAAGATTTCTTGCAGCTGGACTGTAATCAAGCTGATGGGAATGCAGTGATAAGCGGCAAAGAATTTGAATTTATTACATTTTTCTTCCTTTCCTGCTGCTGAGTACTGCAGTAATTTCACTGAGCTCATGTGTTCTTCCTGGTCTCACTAAATAAATGCATTAGAAAACCTCTCATATAAAGTTTCTGGTAGTGAAGTATCTCCCACCAGCCTGTGTGCATGTTCAGTGCAAATGGAAGTGCTCAGAGTGTCTGGTAGCAATGAAGAAGGGTGTGGGAGACTCGTGGTCTGGGAGAGGAGTTCTCTGCATTTTCATAAGTTGACAGCAGCCTCTCCATGTCTGCCTCTGTGGGTCAGCCCTGCCTTGACCCAGAGGGCTTGCTGCTGTAGGTGAAGGGTAATTTGTCCTGGTTTTCCTCACTGTCTTGAGGCTTCTGTGTAATGCCAGGTACTGTACTGCCCAGGGTTATTATAGTGGTACCTGAATAACTGCCTGGTGGTAACAGCTTTTCTGTGGCCATTGCCCAAAGCTGTAGAGGATTGTGTGCAAACCACATTTAAGCGTGCTGAATGATAAGTTTCTCTGTGTTTTTGTTTAGGAAACTAGCAAAAAACCTCATCCAAGTGCTGTAAAATCGGAAGAAAGCTTCAAACCATTGCAGGACAAGAAGAAGTATCGGCACAGACCTGAACCTCTCTTCATACCTCCTCCTTCCTTCAACCTCAGCATGTCCCACTCAGGTGCCACTCTGTACCAGAGCCAGCTTCGCTCTCCCCGTGTTCTGGGGGATCACCTGCTGGACCGGACACACGAGCTGCCCCCCTACACTCCGCCGCCGATGCTCAGTCCCGTCCGGCAAGGGTCTGGTCTCTTCAGCAGTGTTCTCACTTCTCACACCACATCACATGCTCAGCTGCCACTTACTCCACTGACACCCACTCCACGTGTGCTCCTCTGTCGGTCTAGTAAGTATTGCGTTTACAGCACAGCAGTGCAAAGCAGAGACCACTCTCTTCTTGTGTCACCACATTGATGGGTTTTGTGTGTGCTCACATGCATGGCCAGTTCTGCTACTTCACAGGAAAAGTCCATTTTAGTGGCAGTTTTGCCTAGGGTTTTGCAAAGTTAAGGTATAAAGGGAATAGAGGAGCCTAATCTGCCAGTAAGGCTGTGAACATTCCTTGTGGTCTGCCTCAAGAAAGGACCACCTTGCCTCTCATTACATCTGGGCCTTCTGAAGTGGAAGAAAAAGATCTAGTTTGAGACATGGGTTTCATGTTAAGTATTTGTTGTTCAGTACTTCACAAGAAAAGGTGTGTAATCACTCAGAATCAGGGCAGTAGAAACCTCTGCAAGTTCAGACATTTCTATTACCTGTAAAAATTTAGACTGTTTCTAAATATTGATAAAGGGTCGTTTTTGCATCATAGACTGGAGTAATTCTGGTGTTAGTAGGGAGGTGGCAGTGCAACCTGGGAGGGTCACCAGCAGCAAAATAGTGATACTCAAATTCCGATCTCTGTTTCAGATAGTATTGATGGAAGTGTCATTCCGGTGACGCCTGGGCCTGGAGAACAGACTGTTGAACCGTAAGAAAAACTATTTTTTGTCACTGCTTTTATAGATTAGCTGCAACCTAGAGCCCGTGGCCTGAAGTGTTTGGAACCAGGCAGGAAGTATTCAACTGCCTGAAGTCATGTTGGGCAGGATGCATTTAATGTTTCTGTGGATGGTGGCTAAGGACATTTGGAGCAAAGTGACTGTGGCAAATTTAAGTGTTGTGGCTCAAAGTTAGTGATGGCTGGGAAGAGTGCTGTGAGGAAAACGTGTCAATACAGTACTCTTGCTTTTGTAGATATATATGTTTATGTATTATAAGAGTGAAGCTTTGGCATGGTGGTGTTAGCTGGTAGGTTCCCCATGGCAAAGTGCAAACAGAGTTGTCCCTCAGCAGTAATGGCTCTTTTTGCTCTCTGCTGAAGAGTACCATTCTCTGTGGAACAGAAATTTGCTGTTTCTGATGTCTAGCCTCTTCGCTAGTCATGCATATAAATTAGCTTGGGTTGTCCCTAAGGTATGATGTCTCAGTATGGCTTAAACTGCATATTGAAATTTTTGTTTTTCCCCAAGAGATCAGTTCTCTCTAGTATTCAAAATACTTATCCCACTGGGAATAAAGCATTGCATAAAGCAATCTGACACAATTTCCTGCCACTTCAGTGCAATAAAAGTTTTGTTGGAAATAAAGTGAACGCTAATCTGACTTCTGTATTTTCCACACATTGTGTAGTTGAATACTTATTTATTTGTTCTTCTTTATAGGCGAATCAATATTGGGTCCAGGTTCCAGGCTGACATTCCTGAGCTGCAGGACAGATTGCTAATGGAGAAAGATGTGCACAAGGCTACTTTGGTTTGGAAACCATGGCCAGAACTGGAGAACAAAGTCTTCCAACAAAGAGGTATAATGACTTGCCATTTTAGAAGTTCCTACGTCAGTCTGTGCCTGTTGAAGAAATACGCATTGATTTCTCGTGTCTGTACTGAACAAAACGTTCAAGAGAATATTAATTGCTGAGAGTGCAGAGCAAGAGACTGGAACTACATGGTATAGGTTCAGAGCAACAGCATTATATGGTGGCATTTAAAGGGAAGTCTGAATGAACGGTTTTCTGGCAGCCAAGGGGGAAAAGTTCATTGCCGGGAAGTTGGCTACTGAACTGCCTGGTAAAGGCAGCTGAGAGGCAGCTGATGCATCCTGGGCCTGTCTTGTGACCATAGCTGAGAGGAAATTTGGCAGGCTTGGTGGGTTTTACCAGTCCTGAGCAGAATTTTTTCCTGCTTCTAACATAGTTCATTCTGTTTCTCCAACCTGGCTGGAGCCTTCTTGGCACAGCAATGTCACTGGTGTGTGCAAGTCATGCTGCACAGGCAGATCTCTGGCTATGGAGTAGCCTGTCCTATCCCAAGGACGGGCTCCATTACATCCTCTCCTCAGTGATCCTAAAACAAGTAGATGAGATGTTGAGGAGAAAAATGTGAAAGAATCTGCTGCCCTGAACTATGTAGTCTTTGAGGGCATTACAGAATCCTTGGCTCCAGATGTTTGACTGACAGGCTACTGTATTAGCAGTAAAATGTTGACTTGTTTCTGACAGTGGAAGACCTTTTAAATATGAGCTGTTCCAGTGTGTTACCTGGTGGAGGAACTAACTCAGAATACGCTTTGCACTCTCTCTTTGAAGCAAAAGGAGATATTATGGTAAGATAAAAAGCTGAAAGGGGAGATATGATCCTCTTCTGCAGATAAATTAGCATGCTTTATTAAATGGATTTAGATATGGTTATATAAAAAAGATTTCTGATTGATGTGAAATGATGCTTTAAACATCCTGTAACATTTTTGGGGAATGACTTTTCCCTTTATTCTCTAATAAATTTAAATTTCAAAGCAGTGCCTCTCTGAAGGCTTACTGTATATTTCATATAGATAAGATTACTTAGTTTATAGCCTTGGGGCTTTGAATGTCTCCCAGTGCTTGCTCCAGCCCTGATATTTCACAGGCTTTATATTTGGTCACAGAGAGCTTAGTCCTCTTCTAGCCCTTATAAAAAAACCCTTTTTTTGGAGCAGCAATCACATCTACTTATTTGTTCAGAACTGTGAGGTAATTGAACACAGTTCTTATATAAATAATGCATTTCAAATATTTGCATTAGTTTAGTGATGGGAATGTTATTAACTAAGGCAAAACATCCATTTTACCCAGTGTTAGGAAAAGGCAAGGCCCCTTGCACCACTTCCTGGAAAGCCAATATAAAACCAAATGCAACAGAACATGGAGCTGGAATGAGTCTCACTGGATTGGCTAATACAGTGGGTTTTAGCTTGTGTCCCAGTTTCCTTAGGCTCTGTTAGCTGTATCTGAGAGGTCTGAATATGTCAGGATGTGGAATTTGCTTTACAGAGAGTATGCATTTTCAGGGAAAAAAATTTTAGGGATCCATAAGTCCTCTGTTTTCTTGATCTGAAGGACGATTAGCTATATTTGCAGTCATTCTTGACAGATGTTGACTTACACAGATATTCTAAAATATTTTATGCTATAAATATTAATGCTGTCAAACCAACCATTAAATATTAGTATTAATTAACACTGTCAAGTCAAACACTATAAATGTATTTGTTTGTGGCAAGCAGAAAGGAGGGAAAGAGCTGGAAGTTGCTAAGTAATAGTCACATTTGTGCTCATTAAGGCAGGACAGGTGCACATTAGGTGCTCTTCTTTGAGGTACAGTGTTAATGGGCCTTGGAGTAATTTGATGTGATTTTATATGACAGAAAAGAGAGAAAATTAATTCATATCCTCATACCAAATAGTCTTCCAAATGCAGTTTTATGCCACAGCTGATTGCTTTCTCTAATTCTGTTTTTCCCTGCTTTTTCATTTAGGTTGCTCTTGAAAAGCTGCTGTTGAGAAAGCCAGTGAGGTTGAAGTGTCATCCTTTGTCAAATTACCACTATGCCGGTAGGTTTCCTTGTGATCTTTCTATCTGTTCCACAGTCCAAGCCTGGCATCCCAGGATGGAGCATGGGATCACGTTGCATTCTCTGCTGTCTGCTGCAGGGATGGCAGCATTTAATAGAGATGATGTGGACACTGCCAAGGGTACTCCCAGAGCCATTTGCTGCAAGTTTAGCAGTTTTATACACGACTGACAATGTACAGAGGCTTTGCATCCATGTTTCTGTGTAGGATTCTACAGATTTAAAACCGCCTCGGCTGATTATTTTTCTCTTTTAAACTGAAATTTAACAATTTAATCTCCTTTTAAAGCTGCTGCTATTTGTAATTTATAATTTAGTATCACTAGTGTCTTAATTTTCTGGTACATAAGCAATCCACCATCCTGCTTGCTTCTTCTGAGGTGATGGTGCACAATAAATATTATAATCATGAACATTCTTCCAAAGAGGCAGTGCTGTAACTCTCACTAGGATCTTAGTGCTGCTTATGGAGCCTCTGTGTAGGGATCTAGTCTGGACTGGTGTGAAATACAAATGTGGTGTTAAGCCTTTGGACTTCAGTTGTGTCACCTGAGCAGAGATGGCAAATGTCTCACCTCTGCAGCCCCCATGCTATTGTTTAATGCTTTGTAGTGGCTAACAACTGCTGAGACACAGAATAGGGTTTAACATAAGACATTTAGAACTTCATCTCCAGTTCAGGCTCAATAGAAAACAAGCCAAGAGTCTTCTGGTCGTCAGTCAGTCACAGTGTCCAAGGTCATGTACTCAGTTCAGTTACAGTCACTGTGCAAGGGAAGTATAGAAGCAGTCTACTTCCTGGCTGTAGCAGCCCACTGGAAAGACTTGCAAGTAAAAAGAAGTCTTTGTAAAGCAACTCCTTAACCCCTTGGCCTGAGAACAAGAACAGAAACATGTTTGATAGCAGCTGATAATGACAGTGAATAAACGTGAACGTCAGGTTTTCAGTTTTGTCTGAGGGAAGTGCTTGGTGTCTGTGATAGCAGCTCCGTTGCAGTCCAAAGGGTGGACATGGAAGCGGTTGGGGAAGGAGGACATCAGCCATCAGCCAGGAACTTTGATCAGGGTCTCTTGCCTGAAGAGATGACACCAAATCTGTGTGGGACAGTTCAAGGGCATAAGAGCAGGAAGATGAGATATCCCACAGCCTCTTCATCAGTAAACAATCTAATTCGCAGAGCAGATAAGAAATTTCTGCCTGTGTGGCAGAGGAAGAGCAGTCTTTACTAAAGCAACTTCACAGTAGTTTCAAAAAGAATTCATTGTGATTCAGGGAGGAGCCAAGAGACTGTTTTGTTTGATCTTTCACATGAGATGAAGCTAATCCTTGGTAACTAGCACTGAGACCTGTGGACACCTTTGAATCCCTGTTTCTTAAGCAGAAAAGAAAGTTTGATTGTGCTTATCACAGCATGAAAATCTCAGCAGTCTGGATCTAAGTGCCATAAAATAACAAGACAAAGCACTACTTTCTAACGCTTTTGCATGCAACATGTGATTGCAACTTATGTTGACAGCATTGCTCTAGCGCTGTGCAGCAGCTCTTTCTGATTAGTTTATTAGCTCTTTCTGTGCAGTTTATTTCTGATTGATAATCAGCCACTCAAGGCATATGAGAATTTTTCACAATCTAGTCCATGAATAGCTTTAATGTGACTTCAAGTGGCATCAGTTTAGGGTAACTTCATGTTTTCTGCTCCATACTCAGAAATCATGGCTCTCAGGCTTACCACATTTAAAGGTGGAATACATTGAAACAAAGCATGCCACTTATTCGTGAGAATTAACTCGTTAGAATACCACAAACAACAGATACCCAAACTCATCCTTAGCATTGCCTTTGAATGAGGGTACAGGCAAATAGCTCACCTTTGAAATTTGTTGGCTTGTGAAGGGAGCCACTTGTAAAACTTGAGGATTTTCTGGTGTGTGCCAAGAGAGCTGGACATGCTGACCCAGGGCTCCTTGGAAGAACACCCTAATCTCTGTCCTAACACTTTGCCATCTGTCAGGATGGTGTTTTAGGAAGAGAGAGGGAGCACATACCTGGTACAAGAGGGCCACTGTTGCAAACAGTTGAATTGTTCTCCTTTGAACAGTGGACTTTCTCAGGGCTGAAGTTCTGCAGTGACAGCTGCAGGAGAGATGGTCTCTGACATAGGGCACTTCAGTCACTCTGGAAGCTTCTTGTATGTGCTGTGACAGGGTTGTGGGTCAGACCCAGCATATGTTGTTGGATATCAGCTACCTGTCCATGGGGCTCCCTGGGTGTACATGTAGCCCCCTTGAAACCCACAAGTTGGGCCCAAAGCACTCAAATGAGTAGAAGATATTTAATGTCAGTTAAATATGTCAGTTTAATGTCAGTGCAAAAACAGTATGGCAGGTAAAACAAAATGTAGAATAAATATCTAAACATAAAGACCAGCTTTAAAATTTGAACTGTATTCTAAAGCTCCAAATTCTTTTTGCTGCATTGCAGATCTCTCTCTATGCACGTTCTCTATATCTCCCTCAAGCTAACAAGAGCAAAAGTGGTTTCCCAGCAACCAGAGTTAAAAACAGCTTTTCTTCTGTTTCTTTTCCTACACAGCATTTATTCTATTAATTAGGTTACTTCCAATTAACCCGCATAATCTTATAAGGGTCTCTGCTAATACCACAGCTATTGGAGAAAGTATGCGAGGCCCAAATATTGCATAGGTGTACAACAAAATTAGTTAATGGAAGTGATTCTATGTTATTATTTTTATTGTGTTGTCTTTTTCAGAGGGTGGGGTAGAAACAAGAGAGCAGAATGACTAGAAAAAAAGAAAATCTCTCCCGTGTTGTCATGCTTTTTAAAGTTATATTTTGGCATAATAGAGTAGCCTCCTGGACTGAATGAGTGCATTTACCCCTGCACAAAGGGAGGGCTCATGACTGACAACTTGTGTGAGAAGGGAATGATGCTGGTTCAGGGTGGGAAAAGATGTAGAGGCAGTGTGTCAGCAGAAAGATCTCTGGGTGATAACAGAATAAGTAAAACTCATGGCTTGAAGCCAGTGCCTTTCTCTGATGCTTAATAGAGCTTTAAGTGTAAATCTCTGTGGAAATAACTAATACATGCTTATATCCAGTACTGGAAGAACCTACAGAAAACAGATTGCAGAAAAGTTAATTTTGTAGTTTTCATCATATAAAGGAGTGGTGAGATACTTGCTATGAGCTTGTAAGCCTCGGAGCTGATGCTGAAAAACAAAAAATTTGTAGTTAATAATATTGCTATTTTTTAAGACAAAAGTAACTTGTAGAGTTCAATATCATGTGTGGTGCCAAGACCCAGGTTAATTGAAATCAGTGCAGAGGCAGGTATTTCTATGGAGAGTAGTAACATTGACAGGAATATTAGGGATTTATTTTCATAAAAGGTTTAGATGTTTCAGAAATTCTCAGACTGAAGTAGAATCTTCTCATAGTGTAAGTCATTTCAAAGGCATCCACTTCATGACTTCTTGCATATCCTTCCTTTAATGTATGTAATGCTGCCCACTCCTAACAAACAGAACATTGCTTTGACGCAGCAGAGCAATCCTGTGTTCCTTCTGTTTGCCTAATATTGAGAAAACATAAATTCAGTTCAATTTAAATGTTGATTTCACATTTTCATGGGCAGTTAAGCCAGGGGACCAAATACAGAATAACAATATTCAGAAGTTTTATATATAGCTTCCATTAAATGATGAAAAACACTTTGTGCATATTGCACATTGCTACAGTGTCTACCGACTTGTGGCCTCTGCCACAGAGGATTTAAATATCTTACCCCAAACCATGCAAGTGAAGAGCTGCAAAAGGATCTTACAAAAGGATGTATGAACTTCTGTGTCATCAAATGTAAAGTGGCATACATGGGAATAAACAATTCAATCCTTACATAGAAAGTATGAGCTCTGTTGTAGTACTATTCAATTAGAATAAAAGTTTGGGATTGTAATGCTAGTTCTAAGGAAGTATCAACTGTATTTTACAGCAGCTAAAAAAATAGTCAAGCATTAAGAGGATAGAAAACATGGTGATGCCACTGTGAAAGCCTGGATTTTATGTGGACTTCTGTGTGCCTTTCTGGTCCTCTTGTCTTTATAGGAATGTTTTAGTACTGGTAAAGGTTCAGAGTGGGACAGAGTAATGATCAAAGGTTTGGGAGTGACAGAAAGGGCACACAATTCTGAATAGCACGGAGGTGATTGTCAAGGTTGGTTTCACTTTCTCCTCCACTTGAAGAATGAAGGGTCATCCAGTGAAGCTACTGGGAGCCAGGAGACAAAGAAAGGGAGGTGGCTCTTCATGCAGAGGGTCCACTGATCTGTGAACTCTTTGGCGCAAAGGATGTTTTGGGTACAAGATGTTTAATTGGTTGAAAGGAAGAGTGGCTCAGCATTTACAAGGGTAGTTACTAAATAAGCAAATTGCAACAGACTCAGGAAAGACCCCTGTGCCCATCATGGTCAGAGGTTAGGAAAAATTAGGAAGAGACATTTGTATTTGCTTGCCCTGATCTTACTGTTTCCTAGGCAACTGCCTGTCACCACTGCTGGAGACCAAATACTGGTTAGATGGACTTCAGGTCTGAGTCAGTACAGCCATGCTTGTATGTGGGTAGCAGCATCATTCACAGGTGCTTGAGACTTCCTGGTTCTTGTTTCAGATACGGCCCCAACATAGAGGTGGTGAGTTTTTATCGTTGATAATGATTTCACATTCTTTTTAAGGCTCTGACAAATGGACACATCAAGAAAGAAGATTGTTCAAAGAGGCATTGTCCACCTACAGCAAAGATTTCATATTTGTACAGAAAATGGTAAGGTTATTTCTGTTCTGTCAGTTGCTGCGGGTTTTTTGTCCCTTTTGCTCTATGCTGTTCCGCTTTATTTTCCCTCCAGTGCCAGACCAGCTGGTTGCAGGCATAGAGACAGCAGTGGTTACAAGAACACCAGGAGTGGTATATTCATTGGTTGTACCTCTGCATTAGATACATGTAAAAAACACTTATAAATAATTAAAAGTTGTTCCTCTTGTTATTATATTTGAAAGTTTTCACATCTGGAATCCGAATCATGGCATTTTATGTGTGGGACAAGTATGTTTTAACATTATGGTCTTGGTGTTCTCTGGCAGTTTGTTACAAGGTACCAGAGTCACTGGCATTGAGCCTGGTGCTAGAAAGGGTTGAAACCTGTTAATAAAGAGAAAACATGTTTTGGCTTACTTTTCATGTTCTGCCACAAAGCAGAAAATACAGGGTTATAAATCTCAGGGCACAATACCCTACTTGTTAGCTCAAATGTTGAAAAATACGTGGATTTATGTGACTCAAGTCTTAATTCCTAGATTTCTCAGTAGTACTGTACAACTGAGCTACAAGAGTACATTCTGAGTAATTTTCTGTCTGGAGTTTATAGAATCCCAGAGAAGTCCTCTGAAGTTGAAAAAGTCAATGCAAATTTGACTGAAAAAAATCTAGAACTAATTATTCTACAAGAGTATTCCTGTTGTAGTCAAACAAAAAATAGTGTTGAATGAAAGCAAAAAAATAAGATGGGACTATTTCTGCAATTCCTTAACTACAGGTTAAGTCTAAGACAGTTGCACAATGTGTGGAATACTACTATACCTGGAAGAAAATCTTGCGTTTGGGACGGAAACACAGAACGCGCTTAGAGAAGAAAAGAGATGAATGCTTGGTAAGTCTAAAGGAAGATGAGAAAGTTTAACCCTGGATAATTTTTGTTTGTCCTTTTTTGACGAGGAGATTGAATTAGGTGACATAGGTATCTTCCAGTAGAAATTATTCCATGACTCTGAATTATGTTCTGTATGAATATTTTGTGACCTCAGCTACCCCAAGATTTGTTTGGCTGGACTGCAACCAGATAAAAGTGCATTATCTAACCGTAGTCCAGGGAAACCTCCATAAATTACGCTTGTGCCCATGTGTGCTCCTAAAGGCTGCTCTAACATTCCAGTACAAATACCACTTGGGATGTGTTGCTTTGTGGGTTGGGGTTTTTTAGTTGGTCGTTTTAGGTTTTTTTTTAAAGTAACTTGACTACAAGTACAGCGCACATGGCCTTTCTGATGGCGGGAGGACAGCACTGTGCCTGGCAACTGCAGATCTGTGGAGCCACAGCTCCATGATACACATGGAGGCTGTCTTGAGCACTGCAGAGAAGCTTTATGGGCTATAGCTTATCCATTAAGGGGTGGTAGCTCCAGTACGACCAGAAGTTCATTCAGGATGGGAAGAAACAGTGATACTGGAAAGCACACTTGACTAAACAGCATGCTGTTCCAGAAAACTCTGTATGTCCTACGATCCAGTGCTGTCCATATTTCTAGTGTTCCTTAAATGTGCTGTCTATTTTAGACAAGTGGAGAAGAGGAAGTGTTAGAGGAAGATGAAGATATTGAAGAAGACAGAAAGGAAGAAAGGGAAATGCAGAAGTCACCTGACCCACCAGCAATCTCTCTTGTTGGACCTATAGATCTACCTGCCGTTCAGGGTCTTTCACTGTCTTCATCCTCCTTCATCTGTGAAATGCCAAACTGTGGCGCTGTACGTGTGTTTGGTATATTTAACGGGGAGGGGGTGGTGGTGGTATGTGTAAACTAGTGAATTGTGATTTTGACTGCTTTTAATTCCTACCCCACAAAATAGAAGCAGTTTGATCCGTACAGAAAGCTGAATTCTGAGTTGATGTACCGTTTAGAAATACTGTATGGCAACAGCTCCAATTAGGTTACACAACTTTAATAGGATAGCTCACTGCTTTGTTTTATTGTGACTGTCTTCAATTATAGTGGGATATTGCTGAAAGCAAGCACCATTTGAATGAGTAGATGGTGCATGTTGACATGTACACTTGTTCTGTTGTGATACGCATTTGGCATCCTACTTTCTGCAGTTCCAGTGTTTCCTTGTGATTTCTTGCGGTTTTTTTCTCCCCTCCCCTCCACCCCGTTCCCTGCCAGGTGTTCAGTTCCCGACAAGCGCTGAATGGCCACGCTCGCATTCACGGAGGTACAAACCAGGTGACGAAAACACGCTGCACCATTCCTGGCACGAAGCAGAAATCTGGTACGCAGAGCGGATACTGCTCCATCAAGAGCTCACCTGCCCACAGCACAACAAGCGGCGAGACCGACCCAACGACAATATTTCCTTGCAAGGAGTGTGGCAGGTAAGTGTGACTTTCTGCAGGACAGCATCACCTTTGCCTGTTTAGATTCCAGATCAGCAGTGCTGTGAACAAACTTTGGTTTTGCTCTGATTGTCTTGGAAGTTTTCCCCCTAGATGATATGTTCTCTTACCAAAACTGTCAGAGATAGGTTTGCATGACATTTTGGATGCCCCTGCAGTATTTATTCCTATTTTCCACTTACCTGCTAGAATTTCTGCATCTGACATTCTAGCCTCTTGCTTCATCACTGACTTGGATGTGACAGTGGGCAACTTTTTCTGTGTTTCTCTGTTTGAGTTTGTCCATCGTGGTAATCCTTCACTCTCTCCCCTTTGTGCAAGATGGTTGTGAAACTGATAGAGGGAAAATTAGGATGTGCATAGATACTGATGCAGGTGTGGGAGCTACAAACTACCTCTGACAAAATCAGAGTAGGCCATTTTGATACCATGAGGATGTATAAATCTGGTAATATGTCCCTGAAATTCACACCATGGCATTGCAGACTTCACTGACTTCTATTTCAGGACAAGGAAGCAAATGTACTGATAAGTTGTTGAGTCTTTTTTGGCTCATTTCATCAAAAGCAGTGCATTTTAATCTGATTTTTTTCCTTTAAAATTTAGGGTCTTTTTCAAAATCAAAAGCCGCAATGCTCATATGAAGACTCACAGACAACAAGAAGAACAGCAAAGGCAGAAGGCTCAGAAAGCTGCTGTAGCAGCAGAAATGGCAGCCACTATTGCAAGAACTACTGGGCCAGCTGGGCATAGTTTGATCCCCCTGGATCACATGAGCTTGGTTAAACATGTTGAAAATGTTGGTGACATTGATGATGATGTTGTTCCGGATCTGGGTGATGTTATGGAAGAGAACGAAGTCATGGATGCTGACCTCTTACTGGATGATGAAGATCCAGATCTACTGCAGGATGATGCTGAGTTGTAAATAAAGTTGTTTGATAGACGGCTACTGAGCACACCCTGAACGGATCAATCAGGAAACCTGGACTGCTTGTTTATTCCCACTGATTGTAAACTACCTGTTGAAAATTATAATTATTTTATCCAGGTCTAGAAAAAAAATCTGCTTTTTTCCCTTTTTTTTTATTAATTTGTGTTTTGGGGGAAGAAATAAATAATTGGTACAAATATTCTTATAAGGTGTTTTTATCTGAGCTCTTTTTGCTGATAACTTCCAAGGCTACTAATTACAGAAGTTTATGGTTCTGCTATCAGTGCCTAGCAGATGGTCCTGGTAGAATCTTTAGTCTTTAACTCTTCCAATTTTCATTTTACCCCAATTACAAGAATAAATTTCACACACTTCTGATGAAACATTTTTTTTGTCTATATGGGATCATTTCCAGCATCTTCTAGAGAGTAAATGTCATCTCTCTTAAAGATATGATCACATTATTTGTCTTTGTGCTGCCATGTTAAGCGAGATGGAGGAAAAAAAATCTGGTTTAACTGTGAAAGAGTTAGTAATACGTAGTTCATTTTCAGTTCTGTCTTGGTTACACAGGACAATTTAGACATTCCATTTTAGCAGGGTTTTGATCTGCTGATTTTAAAATTACCTAATTTCCAGGATTGAAGAAGGAAAATGATTGTTCTGTGGTTCACCTCCTCTGATGGGAACACTGAATCAGGAACACTGCCTTGGTAATCAGATTGCACTGGAAATATTGTCCTGTGACAATCAATCACAGTGTGGAATAGCCATCTCTGTGGTTTTAGAGGAATGTGTGCTCAAGCAATGCTTGCTCTCTCACCAGGCAAACACAGGGAAGCATTCTTGCCGTTGGAGAAGAGACTGATATGCTTTCAGCACCTAGGTATAACGTGTTATTCTTGTGCCATTTTCAGTCCTCTTAATTACATCAAATTCAGCTGTTGTTTATTTACTACAAACATGCTACAGAGGTGAGTTGATGTTGCTGTTTAACGACCATTTCTCTTTCCTTAGGTTCAGATCTACATGCTGGACACCTGACACAATTTATATAAATACAGATTTGGTTCTCTGATTAAACAGGATATGAAAGAATTGTACATTGCAGAGTAAAACAAGGAAGAAGTGGAGTTAGGTTGAGTGGACCTTTAATTACAGAATATGAATGCTGATTGCAGAGCTCTCATAGGCAGCAGCACTGATTTTCTTGTGAATTTTGCACAGTAGAGAGGAGTATTGTTAACTTTATAAAATACTTTATAAGACTTACTCAGCTCTTCCAGGCTTCAGGTTTGTTTGGGGTTTCTTTTATGGGTTGGGTTTTATTTTATCGGGTTCTTTTTGCCATATTCCTAATATCTTCACCAGAATCTGAGGGATGGTGTGTCTTATTCTCTACTTGTTACCCTTGTTTAACTATGCAAAAGGAGGGTAAATCACAGCACTTTTATAGGAGTTACTGGACCACACAAGTTCAGAACCAGTGAGACCCACTGACAGAGGTGCCTTCTCTGTCGAAGCCAAGTATGTGAAGCCAAATGACCTCAAATTTCTGCTTAAGTTCAAATGTTCTGATGTTAAAGAACAGCCCTTCAGGAGAATGGAAATAACTTCTCAGTTTCTGGTTATTGAAGTTCCTGTGTATGTGGTTGTTTTAGTGTTCTGGGGGTTTCCACAGGTTTTTGCAGTAGGATTTGACCAGTGGGTGGAATTTCAGTCCTGTCACATGAGAGGTGATGTTCTCATTGTACCCTTGAGCTTCAGGAGATCAGACAGCAGGAGTCTTTCCCAGCCTGCCACTCCGCACCTTCCCCCAGCAGTTCCAGTCCATGCTGTGACATTTTACTTTTACAGGGGCCACATGCAACCCAGGTTCAGCGGACTGGGTGCTCAGCTGTGTACTACCAGCAAGACCCACTGACAAAAAATCTCATAGATACTGCATGTCTTCATGGTTTGCAAAGTGGAGGCTTTTGTGAGCATTAAAACGTGTTGGCTTTCAGGAGTCTCTGTTAGAGACAGCCCAGCAGAGTCTGCTCTTCCTTTCCCTAGCTTGTATAATTTTGAACCTTTAAGGATCTCTGTGAGAAAGGCTCTACACTAGAAAATGGGCAGGTTTTCAGGTTCCTGGTGGTTAAAAACTGTTTAAACAAAATGATGATTGAAATCAGAGTTCTGCTTGAAGAAGTGAGTGAAATACAGTAGAAATTTAGGGGCTTGATTCTGAAGAGCAGCTCTGTATTAAAGAATCTACAGTGACACTTCTTTTTAGTAACAGTTGCACAGGACCTGTGCTAAATTTAGTACCTATAAATATATATATACACATACATATGCCTGGTTAAGTAACATTAATTGGGTGCTGTTTTATTGTACAGCCAAGAATAGAACAATGATAACCAAAGAAGTTATTCATAAAGGAAAAAAAAGAAATGCACATTTCCTAAGCAGTACATTCTTTAGGCCTCAAACATTGACTTCGTCATTAAGTGTTGCATTGGCTGATGTTAAATGTGCTGTTCTGCCTATTTGTACATGAGTTGAACATAGTTTTGTTTCAGAAAACTTTCTTGCTGATGGTTGATGATGGAAAACTATTCAATATTGGAGCTAGTCCTCTTTGATAAAACGTGTACATACAGAAAACATATTTTATGAGAAAAATCTTATTTTCAATATTTGTTATTTTATTAGAAGATGGTTGTGTAAATATTTTAGGCGTTTTAGTGTAAAAAGCAGACTGTAATTTTAGGTGGCAGAGGAAGTAACAAAATAAAAAATATATATACATTTGATAGAGCTTGTGATCTATGCTGGTTTCAGGTTCCCGTTGTTAGCATTTGAATTGCACACAGCTTAATTTCAGGTTAATCTCACTCTACACTGCCTACCTGATTGTGTGTATTTAAGGATGGTTTAGTGGCATAAATTAGCACTTATTTATTTCCCCACCCCCTGTAAAGATTTGGTACCGATCAGAAGCTGTGTTGTATTATTAACCGCTATTTGTATGTATAAAAAGAAAAGGGTTTATGTGCCATTGCCAGTCATTTTTATATATCGGTAAAATACAGTCGAATGGGTTTTGCTCTGACGGGCTTGTATCCCTTTTAAAAATATTTTCTACGAGCGGGGAGAAGGTTGAAAGTTTGGGTTCGTGTAATTGGTTTCGTTTTGGTTTTTTTCAAAGGATTCCTAGAGAACAGGACGGGGAGCGCCTGAGGGGGCCTGCGGCCGTCCGTGGCGGGAAGCGGCTGAGGGGGAGCCGCAGCTCCGTCGGTGCTGCCCTGAGGCAGCGCTCGCGGGAGGCGGCAGCCGGGGTGGGGAGCCGAGCTGGGGACTCGTACGGCTCCTTCGGCACCGTGGGAGCTCCCAGCTCGCCTGCGCAGCTCCGAGCGCTGCCCCGCGGGCAGAGCCGCCCCAGCGGGGGAAGGAGGTGCGGGACGCGGCCGCTCTTCTCCTTCCGGGCGAGGCAGGGCGGGCAGGGGCGGAGCCAAGATGGCGGCGGGGTGGCTGTGGCGGCGGCTCTGTCAGGTGCGGTGTGTGGCGAGAGAGGGGACGCGTCCCTCGTCCTTTTCCTCGGCGTCTTCATTCCTGAGGGGAGTGGGAACAGAGGACGTGGCAAATGCTGTCCTTCGGGCTCCGGGAGGGCTGGGGCTGTACAGCGTGGGATTGTGTCTCTGCACGCCATCATTGCCTGGCGGGTCCTCAGAACTCTTCGCTGCAGTTCTGTGGTTTTCCGCAGTTAGTCCGGGTGGAAGGGATAGTGAAGAATAGGTGACTTGGATATGAAGGCCGTGTGCTAGGCGAGTTTATAGTCTACAAAGTTTCAAAGCTTGGAAGTTACAACGTGAAATAACGGGAAAGCGTAGTGCACTGATGTTGTTTGCTAGTTTGGGCTTAAAAACAGTGATTGCTTTCTCTCAAATTGAGAAAATTGGATTTTCTGAAGCCCTAAACTCTCTTCTGTCTATGCAGTGTGTTCTGGACTTGCCTTTCAGGCGTCTGTCTCCCCCTCACACTTCAGAGGCTCTCAACCAAACAAAATTAAGGCTATTTTGCACTAGGAGAGGGATAATTATGTTTTGTGCAAAGTCTTGGTTCTGTTATATTGCAGTCTTTGAGTGTCATTTCCACCTTCTATGATGGCCATTAGCAAGAGCACATCATTAAATCAGACAGTGAAGCTGTTTACAAATTCCTGCCCACTGAATGTCATATCTAGCACTTGAGGTATTCAGTGTATCATTTTATCAAAATTTGCATAGAACACCTTTAATTTAATGTTACAAAAACTTTTGACTTGATGCAGATCTGTTTAATTAGTAACAAAGGGAGATGGCATGTGGTAGGAATAACATGCACAGTCATAGAATATTGGAAAGGCTGCAGACCTTAGTGTGTGGGATAGGACTCTACTGCTTCATCGGGTTTTGTTTTATTCATTTTTATTGCGTTAAGACTGAAATTTTTCTACCTAAAACCACATAGCAGAATACACTATGAGTCCACTTATCTTTGCATGCAAATAATAAGTCCTTATTACCAAGTCAAGTAGTTATAAGTAAAAGAATACATAGCACAGACTGCATATGCACATGCATTAAAAAACCCAAAACAGGTAAGAAATTCAGTTGTGGTTACAGTTAATAGCCTTACATTTGTCATCTGGGGTCAGATTCTGTGTCATGTACTTGCACAACAGCTTAAGCCCTGCACTGAATAGTCTTTTATGCTCATGGCCTGTCTGCTTCCTGAAGTGGTGTCAGGTGATTGTAACTGTACTTCATACTGGTATTGAATGGAAGGAAGGCAGCATTCTGGCTTCAGGAAGAGAGACTTGAGGTGCTAATGTCAAGATAATTTTGCCATAGAATCGTAGGCCTGCATTGGAAGGGACCTTAATGACCATCTATTTCCAACCCCCTGCCAAGTGCAGGGACACCTTCTGCTAGATCAGGTTGCTCAGAGCTCCATCCATCCTGGCCTTGAACACTCCCAGGATGGGTCATCCTCAGCTTCTCTGAGCAGCCTGTTCCAGTGCCTCACTACTCTCCCAGTCAAGAATTGTTTTCTAATCTCTAATCTACCCCTACCCTCTTTCAGTTTGAAGCCATTCCCTCTTGTCCTGTCATTATGTGCTCTTGTCCCTCTATTTTATTAGATGTCATTAGACAATTACTAGCTGTATTTCACTG